AAACGGGCGTAGAACTGATTCAGCTCGTTGGTGAATGCAGAGTCGGCGTTGATATTCTGTTTTCTTGGAAGGCTTTCTGACATTATTAAGGGAGGTTCTCACAGTATTTTATCTCCAGGATCAGGTATATTTGGTGTGACAAATAAGTGCTACAGAGTTTAGATGAAGCACCAAAGCACAAAATTGGGGTGTAAATAGTTAAGGTGCCAATATATCCCCCCTGCAGTGGTGGCTTCACTCACCCCTGCGTCAGATGCAACCTTTTCTACCTGCTGTTAAGGCGCAGGAAGGCGCTGCAGTATTCTCCAAAACTATAGGTGTCGCCACTCAGACAATATTGCATCATACACCCTGATGAGGAGGAGAAGAAGTCAAAACTGGAAGCAGAGACTTTGTCAAATGTGTCTTTGCAAAGTTCTTTCCACAAACTCAAATCTTCAAACAGTTGCAACATCTCCATGTGTGTGTGAGTCTGTCTCTGAGCTTCTGTGCAGGATTATCATTAAAATAGCGGGGGAAAATGGCACTTTGCATACTTGTGTCTACAAACCAGCTGCGACTGCTGCAGCGCAATCTGCCAGGTTAGCAAAAGACAGTGCCTTTGTTTTCATACGCAAATGGTGGAAAAAGCATGGCGGCGACGGAGAATGAGAAGGGGGAAAGCGGATCATTAAATGAAACAGATGAACCAGAATTGGTTTGTAAAAATGCTGCAACTTCAGTGGTGTGTTACTGGTTTGGCTTTCATTCATCAGATACACAACAGAGAACAATTTTTGATAGAACATCCAAGCAGGCCAAAAACCTGAGGTTGCATGGCGTTAAAACGGCTGCTTGCAAACCCCCCCCCCAAAAAAAAAAACTAACAAGTCAGCCGCCAGCGCTGTAAAAAACGGTAGACTGGTGAGCAATGTTCCCTCTAATTTTTCATGTGTCTAAGCGAACACACAAACTCCCTGAGTAGTCCCTTGGACCACTGTGAGCAACAGCAGACGTGTGCACTGTGGTCACGCCAGCATCGAATCCATCCAAGTTACATGGTGTTACGAACTTGCATGTCCATGTGTTTGTTTTGTGCAGGTGTTGTGTCTTTTTATGTTAATTTAGCTGTGCCAGGGCCCTGCTCCGATTG